ATTGCTGATGATCATATTAATGCTTCTGCTAAAAATTGTTAATTATTTTATTATTTTTTAATAGAATTAATATAAAATCTATCCTTAATTCATTATTTTTAATTCATTTTTTAAAGAAATAATTTGTATAAAAAATAAAGTGATTGTTCACTTTTATTTTATTATATTTCAGGATATTTGTAATTTTTTCTTTATATTTCTCTAATTGAATAACTTGTCTGATTAATGTATTCTTCCAACTTTTTACTTGAATTTCTACTTCCATAGATTTGATAATAGACATAACTTTTACTTATTGATCTATAAGTATTTATCAGTTTATAGAATTGCTTGAAAAAAGAATCTGTTTTTTTTTCTTTAGACTTTTTTGCCTATTTAGTTGTGAAAGAAAATGAACTTGTAAGATAACTATCTTGAATAATTGAATTGTTATTTCTGAATATTTTTATAAATATTAATTTATTTTAAAATTGATATATTTAATATTTATAATATCAAAATATTTTAAATAATATTAATATATCAAATCTTTTTTAATATATTTATATATTAAAAATTCTTTTTATAATAATAAAATTAATAATATAAAAATAAAAAAATTAGCAAATTGCAATTTTTACTATATACGGTACTTACGTACAGTGACCAATCAGGACGTGCTTTAAATATAAACGCGCACACACGGTTTTATCAAAAAACTTACTCTCTGCTGATTATGGTTGCTTTTCCACAAGAAACGCTTATCCAGATATTCGAAGATTCTATTGATGATTCTCCGAAAACAAAGTACATCAGTGCACGCGATTTACTTTCATTCATGTTGGTGAATCACGATTGGCATCGAGCAGCTTCTGAGATTTTATGGAGGGAACCTTTTCTATTCATAAAAGAGACATACACACAGCGGAACGAAAGCAGAGTAATGAAACAACATTCGTCACTTGTTGCGACTTATCTCCAATGTTTGCCCAAGGTGATTAAAAATCGTATTTCTAAACAAGGAATTTCATTGGATTCGGTTTCAAAAAAGTCGGCAATTTTCGAGTATCCTGCCATGTTGAAAAGGCTTGATTGGTCTAAACTGCACCTCTCAGTGAGCGCTTGGCTGATCATGCAAA